ATAGCAGATGGCAATATGTGTGTAATGGCACCCCCAGGCATAAAAGGGGTTAACAGCATTTAGTAGATCTTCCCTTCCAGAGACACAGGCACAGCTACTGCAGACACCAATCCACCGAACCGGAGAAGCATATGAATGCTCTCAAACATACGAATGCTGTGAACAGCCAAATAGGAAAAACCATACGAATAGGTTTACACTCCTAGCAGTCGAACTGGTACAGCATACATAAATCCCCCCAAGAACGAGACAAGGCTCCGTTTTGAGGGTCAAGCAGGAGCAGACATTGCTGTGGGTTTATTGTTCTTATATACCCATTAGTACCACCCACAGGGTTTTGGAAAACAACCAATAAACACATACAATACACTCAGACACTCCCACTAAAGATCCTCCCCTCTGCCTGTGATACAATTACCTTACACAATGGGTAATGTAATTATCACCAGCAGAGAAATACAGTTTTTCCACATTATTCATAACTTTAAAAGTATGCATCACATTCACATAAAACTTACATTTTCAGCATACTCCAAATACAAACATATGTCAAAATCATCCAAATTGGTCCAGTGGTTCAAAAGATAGATCATAGTCCTTTGTGACCAAAGGAAGCATGGCTTCTCTGCCCAAAACCAGTTCCACAGAGTCTTCTATCCTGGAGATAATTGGGAAGTAATCCAATTATCTCCAAGGACAGAGGCAAAACTCCATTAAGCACATGGCAGTAAAAAGACAGTAAAATATAATAAAATACACAAGGTTACATTTATGACATAAAATACAGACATGCAAAATATGCCCAGATAGCTTAGGTCTGAGCACACATTAATACTGAATGGTGCTCAGACCACACACACATACAGTTCAATTGCCATGGAGCCAAAGTCTTTTATTACACGAATAGGCTCCATGGCATAGCTATATGGGTTATATGAGTTCATTCAGTAAATCAAAGAATCTACCGAACGCCAGGGCAGAAAACATGAATAGACCTTTCTGCATAGGAAAATAAAGTATTTAAATGCTGGTCCATAATCAAAAGGCAGCAGGCAGGCAATCAGGCTCCTCCAATGCACACTGGCAAGATTGGTCTCGTCACAATGTGTGAGTGCCATTTCCACATGGAAAACTAAAAACATTGAACATAATATTCATTGAACCAGATACAGTTGTGAATTTGTTCAAATGCATGTCTTCTTCAATATTATTAGGTCAGTGAAGCATATTATTTATAGAAATATGGATGGCTGAATTATAGATAATTTAAGAGACCCCTTTTTGAATTTCTAATGCACATGTGCCTTTTTTAAAGAGTATAAGATAGTTTGTCACAATATGTGTGCAGTCTTTAATGGAACAATCATAGAACCATAAACACTACAGAGAGCTCTAGTGGTTATGGTAACAGTTGTGCCCAGGTGCCTCCCCATTATTAGTAGTCAAACCATTTAAAATAGTTTGACTCTTTACCTGTCTGCTGGGCACCACTTCACAACAGCTAGGGGAGAGCCTGAAATTGTCTGAGCTAAGCAGGGCTTAGCTTATTGGCTGAGACTGAACAGCTGGCTCACCATTATCAGTAGTAAAAGACAGGAGAATCCAGCACAGCCCAGGTAAGAAGTCCAAATGGTTTGACTACCTACAATGGAGGTGGGGGGTTAGGTGGCTAGAAAAGTTCTGGCACCATAACCAAAACAGTGGTTATGGTGCTTGGACTTCTCCTTTAAAAAGAACATCTCAGCTATTATCAAGCCATGGCTATTTTTTTTTTTTTTATTTAAATCTTTAGTTCAGTATGAATTGCTATTTAGTGGATAAACCCTTTTGTTTCAAATGTACTGCCTTTTTGTAGTTCAGGGTCTTTAGCACAGTATATTGATTCCATTTAGGTATAACAAATAATTATTCAACATATTGTCTAATTATAAGTATACAAGTGCTTTCCTAAAGGTTTGCTTTAATTTTTAAAAATGTTTTATTTTACCAAAATATTATCAAGACATAAACATATTCTGTTATGCTGTACAAGGAAGATTTGTCAAGTAAATATTTTTGTCAACCTCAATTTTAAAGGAAACTACATAGTTGATAGCTGATGTTTTTGGGAGAAGCAGTTTGTAAAAATCAATTTTCTACACATATTTCCATAGGAGACCTCGTGAGCAATTTACGTACTAGCACGTAATTAAGTGCAAACAATATATTCCCCCAACCTACCAAATTTTCTAAATATTTCAATAGTATTTTGTAACTATTTGGGAATGTTAAAATATATTATTTAATATGAATTCTTCATGCATTCTAGTCACAAAAAACATGTCCATGGACTCCAGGTGGCACTTATTTACTTATTTATAGAAATGAAATCAAAGTGCTTCTAGGATCTGCAAAACTAGTGTACCAGAGTAATCCTTTTGTGGGTGACCTTTTAAACAAAGTATTATAGTTGTAGAATATCTTGGATGAGTATCTCAAAAGGAACAATTTCATCTATTCTACAGTAATGTGAATATTTAATCTACTTTCAGGTTATAACTAAGCTAATGTCCTGCCACTGCCAATTTGACAAATTGTCCCCATTGTGTGTAACTTCAACCTGATTTTAATTAGTTCAGTAATTCCTGCTGATTCATATTATAAAACTATTTTTAATATCTTAATTTCCTGAGTCAAGATATATCACATTTTTAACTTAATGAATAGGATTATATCTCTATATTAACTTTGGTATGCCCTTACATGAATAAAAGAACTATTAGAAAATTAGTTTGGTATTCCCTACCTTTAAAAAAAAAAGAATTACAAAATTTGGTTACATATATTATGAAAATGAACTTACTGAATGACTTAAAGAGACAACTTGTTTTCTGAACACTCTATAGCATTGGCAAAAAAGTGCCTCTTTTAGCTGATGTGACTTCTCTAAAATAAATTAGTGCTTTCAGGAAGAATACATTATTCAGAAAGTATATCGTAATTGTTGGAGTTGCAGAATGTACTTCTTTGTAAAAAAAAACAACCTAAAAACAACAGTATTGCATTACAAATTTGATATCAATTCAAAACAATAAAGTTAATGGTTCATACGGAATCCAAGAACACACAATGGATGATATACTTGGTAGAAAGTCTCAGCAGAAATAAATTGAGAAAAGCAAGACATACATTCAAATCACATAAGCTAGATGTAATCATTCCAAAAATAGCCTACATTCCTTTTTTACTAGCACCATCTGGAATAGACAGAGAATATTCAAAAACATGACAAAAAAGTAAAATGTTACAATTAACAAAATGTATTCAGATGTTTTGTAAATTGGATGCTAAGTATACTTATCTAGATCATCAACACATAGTTCTGTGTGAGTTTTAAATCATACAAAACATGTATAATATATACTGGATATCTAAAGATAAAAAGACAAAGGAATACATGGTAAGAAATATAATATACTTGTGTGTTGTACTTTTTTAAAACTAGGTAACTCATGTTAGGCGTTTCATACTCTATGTCCCTCTACAGGGGGTGGATTGAAAAATACCCTCTACTTGTCCACAAGACTATAATGGTTGCCCCATCTTCTTGTCTGTCATTAGAATCTACTTGTACTGATACACAAAATAGTGAAGCACCTGCCCAGAGCCCTGGACATTGACATTGCTATTAAAAAAACTCGGAGCAGCTGATTTGGAAAAAAATATCCAGATCAGCTTCAGTCACATCCTTTAGCCTCATTTAGCTTTAATTAGTGAATATTAAGAGTTTAGTGAAGAACCATGAGTGTCTTATCCACTTTTCCCCATAGTGTCCAGACCTGTGTGGCCCTCCTATAGTGTGTGGTGACTGTGTGTAATGTGTCTGTGCTTGCTGTGTGTAATGTGTGTGATGTGTGAAGGCTGTGTGTAATGTGTGTGAGAGGTTTGTTGGCTGTGTGTAATGTGTGCGTAATTAATATTTATCGGCTATGTATAGTGGATTTTTGTGTGTTTACTGTGTTTTACCTTCCAAACCCACCCACATACCTTTCTGCCGGGAGGATTTGTTTGGTTCAATGGCAGTTAAAGTGGTCTACTAACAGGCTGCACAGTGAGAAAGGATAACTGCTGACTGGCTGCAAAGTGGGTGAGGATGAGGAGTAACTAGTGTCACTAGGGGGGATGATGAGGGGTAACTGGCTGAATTAGGAGTAGAATGGGGGTAACTGACTGCAGGGGGATCATGAGAGGTAACTGGCTGCAGCGAGGTCTGGTGAGGTAAAATAATGTTAATCTCGGGATATATTAGATTCTGTGGCAGCAGTATACAGGTTACATTACATTGTATGAGATATGCAATCAACAACTCTCATTGCAGTATCATGCAATTATTGTTACCTAAAACCCCTGCTCCAGCTTACTTCCATTATCCTCCCTTCCAAACCCTGATGGATCCTTCCTTTAGCTACAGCACTGCTCATTAATATCTTCAACCTCACCTCTAACGTTTAATCCAGCCTCAACTTCAGCCTACCCCCACACCATATCTGCACTAACTTCCTGTTCCCACTGTGGAGAGGTATAATTGTCCACTGTTTCTCACTTGACACAGTAAGCAGCAGAGAAAGTCTTGTGGGGTTTTCCCGATATACAGTTATTAGTACCTATCAGAAGTGGTGCAAGGAAGGACAACCAGTGAACTGGCATCAGGTTAATGGGCTCAAGGTTTATTGATGCATGTGGGGAGCAATGGCCAGCCCATGTGATCCGATCACACAGAATAACTACCAAAGCTTCAAACTTGCTGAAAAACTGAATGCTGGCCATGAAAGATATATGTCAGATCACAATGTGCATCACGGTTTGCTGCCTATGGAGATGTGTAGTCGCAATCTGGTCAGAGTTTCCATGATGAGCCCTGCCCATGATGACCCCGAAACCACCTTCAGTGGGGACATGAGCATCAGAACTGAACCATAGAGCAATGAAGAAGGTTGCCTGGTCTTATGAATCAAATTTTTCTGTTAGATCGGGTGGATGGATTGGTGCGTGTGTGTTGTTTCTCCCTGGGTAAGGGATGACAGCAGGATGCACTATGGGAAGAAGGAAGGCCGGTGGAGGCAAGTTTATGCTCTGGGCAATGTTCTGTTGGGAAACCTTATGTCCTGGCATTCATGTGGATTTTACTTTGATATGTACCACCTACCTAGCGATTGTACCAGACCACAGACAGCCCTTCATGGTATTGGTTTTCCCTGATGCCATCTTGATAATGCACTGCATACTGCAAAAATTGTTCAGGAATGGTTTGAGGAACATGATTAAGAGTTCACCCATGCCAACTCTTGCAAGGAAATATGGAGGCAAGACAGAATACAATGGAGCTCTCCCAGATGGAGTGAACCTTGGAAGTGAGTAGACTCATTTGACTGAGTTATCAGGAATCCAAGAAATTCAATCCTTCTCATGAGAGTTAACTGCAATTTCTCCCAATTTATGAGGAAACCTACTTGAGATAGGAGGTCCATAGCACATTGGAGATGGAGGCAGAGGGTGGCTGGATAAGGATATCGTCCAGGTCGTCCCTATCAGCTTGACTTCTCTGGCCCATATTAACGCCATAACTGGTCGTAGCAGTTTGATGAAACACCAAGGTGCTGATGAGAGCCAGTAGACACCAAAGAACTGCAGGAAGTCCCTAAAACTCAAGTCCCAGGTGAGGATCAAGTCATGCAGAAAATGAATTCCTACCATTTTGAAGTGCCTGTAGCACACCAAGGCGTTCAAGGAGCTAAAGGTGATTACTGGCCTCAGCTGGCCACCTTTTTGCACAGCCTTGAAAATGTTGCTCACCAGTCATTTCAGACATAGTTCCACCAGTTATATGTCAACAAGGCTTCTGTCAAACATGTAAAAAACAATAGAAAAAAGAGGACGCACACAAACTCAGTTTGCTATCCCAAAACCGTTTGGAGCACCCAAGCGTCTGAAGTGACAGCAGGCCAGTCTACAGAAAGATAGATAAGCTTTGTCCCTACAGGTAAATGGGAAAGACATGTTAGAAAGTGACTCACGAAATGGAGCAGTTACCTCTGTGGAAAAAAAATGGGGATAGGGTCCTTGTGTCCTGGAAGCCATGTCACTACAAAGAGATGGGGCCTCAACTCTGCCTGAATGAGCCTGAGGAGGCATGGTTGGCAGAGTGGCCCCTGAATCTTCCGGCCCTGAAGGAGACCATCCTTGTGCATGGAGTGTTGTGCTTTGTCAATGGCTGTGGTAGCACTAACACATCTGCCCAGGTCCTTGTTGGAGGACTCAGAAAAAATGTAAGCCATCTCATCCTCACCAAGTTCGGTAAGAGCCAGATTAACAAGCTTAGGCTCGATTTTGTAGAATATGGCCTTTCTCCTCTTGATTGCTAATGAAATGTTAATGCATATTGCACTTTGGACCCAACCCTGCATTAAGTGCAGATCAATATGGCAGTTATCATAAATGGCAACATTAGCCAATTCAAATAACTTGATTAAGGGACGAAAAATGTCAAGTAGCTTGGCCTGACAAGCTTGCAAGGCCAATTGCAGGCCTTTTCCAAGATTCTACCATACCTTATCTAGTTATTGGATAATTTTGAGGTCTACTTTGGGTGTTTCACGTACTCTGCCTGCAACCAAGGGATGTGGGCATGTCAAGTAGCTTGGCCTGACAATGGTAAGGAGATGCCTAACCTTTACCTGCCGATATTGGGATCCCACTCCACTTTTTGACCCTGATAAACTGCACCACCCCACTTTACTAACCCGAGGTAGTGTAGTACATCAGGGTCAAAAAGTGGATCTTCCTAGGGATTCAGAAATACCTCCACATGGGACCCAGGTTTATAATCGCCTTGCAGAGCCTATGTAGGGGCTGGGGTCAGGGGATTTGCTCACCTACTCGGCAGGTGTCGGCATACTCCAAGGTTGATTCCATAAAAGCCTCCTCATGACACCTGATTTGAAGTCACTGTTAGGTAATGACACTTTTCCATTTATGCATCCCTTCTGCCTAATGCAGTAAGGCTATTGTGCTTGGTATTAATGCTTTTATGGATGGCTTTGTGACCATCAGTCAATGAGGTTCTTGAGGTAGGCACAAGCAAGTGGCGTGTCTTAGGAATCACCTTCTTCACGAACCATTAGAGGACATGGGTTGAGGGCCAGAAGGACTAGCCAGGGCAGACAGGGGACAGGATGTACCTGCAGCAATGTCATGGCAATGGAATGGGCAGGGGAGGGCTGGCAGCCTTAGGCCTGGGGGGCAAATCCAGTCAAGTGGCACATTGCTCCAAGAGGAGAGTAAAAACACCTTTCCCATGTGATTGAAAGGGGGGGGGGCAGTCACCTAAACAGACACACTCACTGAAGGGCACACACACACAGAGTTACAGGCATACTGACTCACACAGACAGACATACTGACACACACACACAGGCATACTGGCTGACACACACACACAGAGACAAACTGACACACACAGACATGCATACTGACACACACACACACAGACAAACTGGCACATACACACAGATATACTGACACATACACACATATATACTGACACACACACACGTACTGACACACACACAGAAACATACTGACACGCACACACTTTAGACTTTTGAAGCCAGTAGACAGGGGCTGAGTAAGGGGGTTCGGGCTGTAGTGGGGGGTATGACATCATCAGGAGATGCGGGCCAACTCCTCTGGCTGCAGGCTGCAGGGAGAGTGAGGTAAGTTGAAAAGTCAGAGTCCCCAGCCAGAGGCAGGTGATTCAGATATTTCCTTCTTTTGTTGGATGCGTGCGGCCCTGGGTTTAGGGCGGCCTCGGGGGCAATTGCCCCGTCCCAGCCCATCCATAGGAATGGGAAATTGCTTCAGACAGGAAGCACTGAAATGCCACAGCAAAGTCCCCCGGAGCAAGGGAGATTTGATGTCTGCGTTCATAGGTGGAAGAATCAGAGGCCTCTGGCATTCCCCATCATCCCTATTGGTAATAGGGGGGACAGACTGCCTTGAGTAAAAGGCAGCGCCAACACAGTACGCTTATAGGAAAACTACCAGGAAAGGGGTATAGATTATCAAACACAGACCTGGATGCAGCACATCATGTGGAGCACGCAGCAGGGACAAACATGCCAGAAGAACTTTAAAACTGAAAGGGGTGTGGCCTAATGATGCAACCACGCAAGCATGGCCCAATATCATAAAAATTGGATATTGTGTAATGCCCTGAAAACTGTGTAAAAACTGCAGAAATGAAAGACAGGTCTGGGGGGGAACCAAGGTGCACTGAGGGAAATCCAAAAACAGCATTCTGTAGCTTCTGGGAGCCACAAGAATGTAATATTTGGCTAGGCCAAAAAATTGGCGGCAGAATGAAAATTATGCACAGCATGCACGGAGGGTACGCAACAGGTGAGGGGCCAGAGGAAGACTAGAAATGTATAAAGCGTATATATGAAAAAGCAATTAAAGGACCAGAAGGGCAGAACATGAAGAGTGAGAGAAACTTTTTTACAAATAGGTAAAACACAAGGGAGGTAATCTGTATGTAACTTGTAACTTTGCTGCTGTATTTAAGTAAAGAAAGAGTTAAGCACAATATGAGGCTCTGTGTCTTCAAATATATATTTTTTAATAGTGAGAATAGGAACTGCTAGTGTCTCAATAACATATGAGTCATACAGCCATGTGTAAATATATCATGCTTTATTTTGGGCAGATAGCTGCACAAGGGTCACTGTGATATTTTCTGGCCCACATAGCATAGGAAAATAATAATTCCTGTACTTCTGCTGGCTAATACTTTAGAAATTGATTTCTCTGTGCACCTCTCTATGTGGAGCCTGAAAAACAAAATGATTAACACGTGAAAATAATAAAAAAACATGGCATTCAGATAATAAAACAATAAACAATTTGTTTGGTTTAGGAGTACTTTAAATGTGTATATTTCCATGTAACCCCTTCCTTACCTGCATTTGGAAGAAGGCTGTTAAGGGCAGCATCTAACGTTCAAGCTGGATTAAAGGGATTCTCTAGCGCCAGGAAATAAAACCCGTTTTCCTGGCACTGTAAAATCCTGGAGTGCCCGCCTCCCGCCCACCATCCCTCACTTACCTGAATCTAGCGCTGATGTTTCTTGGTCCTGCGTCATTCTCCGCCCATGCTCCTTGCCCACCAACAGCCATGCGCACATTAGACCTCCCCATAGGAAAGCATCATTCAATGCTTTCTTATGGGGATTCTGGCGATGCTGGAGGTCCTCATACATAGCGTGAGGACATCCAGTGTCGTTTAGATGACCAAAAGTCATCTAAGAAGCCGTAAGTCCTTCTAGTGGCTATCTGATAGACAGCCACTAGAGGAGGACTTAACCCTGCAAGGTAATTATTGCAGCTTATAAAAAGCTTATACAAACTGCAATAATTACACTTGTAGGGTTAAGGGTTTGCACCCAGACTACTTCAATGAGCTGAAGTGGTCTGGGTGTCTACAGTGTCCCTTTAAGGTTGCCTCTCCTAGAGTCGTGGGCTCTGTTACATACAGAGAGAGATATGAATATATGTTTTTTCTCAGGTATTATGTTGATTTATTAAAATAATTATTGAACTGATTTATTTATCAGAATAGGCCAAATAACAAAGATCAATGACCTGGCTCTCATAAAAGCCTTCATCAATATCTTGCATTAAAAAGCAAAGTAAAGAAACTAAATAATAACAGATTTCTATTTTTTTGTTTCCATTAAATTAATGTCATAAAGGCAATTCATATTTTTGCAAGCAAAAACCTTTTTTTCTATCTATCTATCTATCTATCTATCTATCTATCTATCTCTCTGTCTGTCTGTCTATGTAGCTATCTATCTATCTCTCTCTCTCTCTCTATCTATCTATCTTGTTATTGCAAGTCTAGCTATCTATCTATCTATCTATCTATCTATCAGTCTTGCTATTGCAAGTACCTTTGTGTTAGAGGTAATATACCAACTCAAAATGAGAGTTCATATGCAATACAAAAATTGTATTTCCTGTCCCTCTGATTGACAGGGCTTGTAGGAGGAGCTACAACTTTCCAGGTCTAATTTGTCAGTTTGACAGATTAATCAATAAAAGTCTGAAGGCACAAAACATTCAATAGTCTGAAGTGGTTATGGTATCTAGAACATACCTTTACGTATAATATT